AAAAGGCTCCTGGCACATAATAAGTATTCTCTACATCTTGGCTGTTTTCACTTTATTCCAAGCAGGTTTATCTATTTGCTGGTCCCGACATGCCTCTCTCTTCTGCCTCCACATCTTTGTTCAGCCTGGTTGCCCCTGCCTGGCCTGCCCTCTGCTACCATTTCCTCTGGAAACTTCCATGCATCTTTTCTAGTTTCAATTCCATCTGAGGGCTTTTGTGAAGCTTTCTCTGACTACAATGGCCCTCCCAACTCTGAGCTCATAAAGTCTCTTCCACGGGAAAATAGGAGGTGGAAACCCCCAGAGTCCCAAAATCTTTTTCCCCCCTGTGGCCACTGTTAGACGTAGTAGAAACTAAGAAGTCAGGCAATAATGTGCTGGAAGAACGCAAGTCACGTGTGGCCAAAGAGTGGTTTCCCAGTGGACTGTTCCTAAGCTCCCCGGACTATGATCTCCATGTCATCTAGAGGGGTCACTTGCCCTTCCAAAAGTCAACTCCCTGGCGCCTTACTCAGGAGCAAGTACCTCCTAACAGAAAGTGGTCAATGGGTTCATTGATAAATTCAGGCATCCTGGGGCTTCCTGACGCCCACCTGAGTGGCTGCTGTTCCCATCTGCCCATGGGCCCACCTCCAACTGCCCCGACATCCACTCGGTGCAAATGAAATTGAGCCATTCCTCTCTTAAATGTAGGCGGCTATGAGCAGGGCTGCCAAGGACACAGCCAACTCCTTAGCACGTCACCCAGGACCCTTCACAATCTGGCCCTCATTCCCTTTCTAGGCGCTTTTTAATGGCTGTCACCTCATGATCTCTTGGCATTCCTCAAGCCCACTGTAATCTTCCCTGCCTCTTCATCTCTCCTCTACTTAGAATGTCCTTTTTTAGCTTCTTTACCTAATGAATCCTACTCATACTTTAAAACCCAGTTCAGATGTTGCCCCCTATGAAGAACCCTGCCAACCTGTCATGGTGTACTCCCGGTTCTCCCATCAGCTCTCTATTGTCAAGCTCTCCACAGTACAGCCAGTATGCCTACTGGCCAGACCACCCAGTGCCTGCTTACTTAGGATTACTCCTCTCTCTCCCACAAGACCGTAAGCATTAGGAGGTCAAGGATGATTTTGTTACCCTTTATCTGTCCAGCAAGGTGTTTGATAACCAACACATTTTATTTAAAGAATTGATGAAAGAAAACACAAATAAATGAGTGAAGCTCTTTCTTTTTTTTTTTAAGACATTTATTTATTTTGAGAGAGAGAGAGAGCACAAGCGGGCAGGGCAGAGGGAGAGGGAGAGAATCTTGAGCAGACTCTGGGCTGAGCACGGAGCCTGACATGAGGCTCGGTCGTGAGATCGAGATCATGACCCTGAGCTGAAACCAAGAGTCAGACGCTCAGTCGATGGCGCCACCCAGGCGCCCCTGAATGAAGCTCTAAGGAAAGATATCATCCTTCCCAGCTTTCCCATCCAAAATGCCTGGTATCTACTCTTGGTAGGTATGAGTTGGTGCAGAACTGGACAGGGGCACAGAGCCATGTTTGCAAAAGACAGGCAGTCATGGAGGTGGCAGAGGAAAGTACTTGTGTCCAGATGAACAGCTCCCCCAGAAAACCTCATTCAGAGGGGTCTTTCATTCCTGTATTTCTTGTTTACACTCTCCTAGTCTCCCATACAGGTTCCATTTCTAATGAAATTTGTTAAGTGATATTCTGCAGAAATGTCCTAATTATTTTTTAATTTACTAAGTAGCTATCAAGCCAGGCTTGAAAAACCCCATACCCAGTATGGCAGTTGCTCCGTGAAGCACCCTCCCCAGAATTTTTCCCTCTGGTAATTGCCATTTTCACCTTTAGGCCTGGCACAGGCTTCCTGCCCACTGGTTTATTTTTTAGCTAATTTGGTTCCTTTACATCATATGACCTTCAGTGACCCATATGCAATAAGGGAATCATCCTACTAGGACTGTCTTTAGAAGGTTCACAAAGGTATGCTAAACATAAGCAATATATCAACTTTTAAAACCAGGCAGAATGAGTCTGTATCATAAGTCCCAGGAAAGCCTATTATGTTCTTTTAAAAAGAGAACCAAAGAGCTTCTTGATCTCTGCCATTTTCTGTAGGAAAATGCCTCACCAAGTACATCCCTTCCCATGCATTTGTAGTGGGTCATTTGTGGGGTCAGAGAAAGATACTGAAAACTTGCCCAAGCTGTTTAGCTCACATTTATTAACAGCTTAATACGGACCCGGAGCTGTGCCAAGGCCTTTGCATGCCTTGTGTAATCTTTCCCCAACTCCTAGAAGGTTTTTATTCTGATTCTGCAGCTGAGGAGCTTGGAACACAAAGAGGCTGATAACTTATCCCAGGTCACATAGCTGTGGATGCCAGAGTCAGCTTTTGAAGTCAGGTCTGCTGGCTCCAGAGCCTGAATGTGTAACCATTACTCTGAGCTCCATTGCATGTTCCCTGATTTCGTGTTCAAGAAGAGTTTTTCCAATATGTGGAATTCCTAGACAGCTCTCCAAGGGAAGATCTTACTCCTTTCGGCATTTTACACTATATTCATATGATCTTCTCTTTAAAAGAAACTATAAAAAATAAATAAATAAATAAATAATAAAATAAAAAATAAAAGAAATGATAGTAATTATTCAAAAAATAGGATTCGAGTAATCATCATATACAGATATGCAAGCCTTTTCTAACATTTTTTAAATAACACAAGTCCCATGAGAAAAAGATTATTTGTGTCCGCTTGGCCCACATTTTAATTTTTTTTTTTTTTGAGAGAGAGAAAGAGCATGCAGGTGTTGGGGGCAGGGGGGCAGAGAGAGAGAGGGAGAGAGAGAATCCCAAGCAGGCTCCATGCCTAGCACGGAGCCCAACGTGGGACTCGATCTGACAACCCCAAGATCACGACCTGAGCCAAATCAAAAGTTGGATGCTTCACCGACTAAGCCACCCAGGCATTCTGGCCCACATTTTTAGATTTTGGTATTAAATGCCTTCAGTGGGTGCAAAATGAACAACTCCCTTTGTCATTCATTGGAAACAGACATTTGCATTCTGCATTCCACTGCCCACCACCAGACAGATGTTTTTCACAAGGGACCTCATTCAGTTCTCAAACATTTATTAAGCGTGTCCCCTACATGGGACAGTTGCTGGGCAGTATGGGCAAACAGCAAGGAAGAAGATATGGCCCTGGCTTTATAGAAGTTCACAGTCCAGCAGTTCACCCCTTTGAGGAATTTGAGGTCCACAGAAAGACCATAACATCAGGTCCACTGAAGTCCATAGACAAGAAGTTCAGGAGAGAAATAAATCATAACCACCTTGGAAAGTATGAGTTTTCTTTATTGGAAAAGTTCTCAGAGGCCAATGTCTCACCTCCAGCTTCTTTCATTAGTGCTTATGGACCAGTATTGGGAGGACCAGGCCAAGGGTAGGACTAGGGTGGAAGAAGCCACAAGCTAATTGCAAAGAACAGAACTCAAGAAACATGAGGGTTGCCTCTGAGAATCCAGCAGCCTGACTGAAAATGGATTAATTTTTATTTCCAATGGGTGTTAAAACAGGCAACATATGAATATTCTGAAACAAACTGAAGGTCAAGCAATACAAAGTGTTAGTGAGCTTTCCTTCCACCCTCAGAGGCAGCCTCTCTTACCTTGTTCTCAGGCTCCTTCAAAAGAGAGTTCTGGGGGCACCTGGGTGGCTCAGTCGTTAAGCATCTGCCTTCAGCTCAGGTCATGGTCCCAGGGTCCTGGGATGGAGCCCCGCATTGGGCTCCCCGCTCTGCGGGAAGCCTGCTTCTCCCTCTCCCACTCCCCCTGCTTGTGTTCCCTCTCTTGCTGTGTCTCTCTCTGTCAAATAAATAAAGTCTTAAAAAAGAGAGAGAGAGAGAGTTCTGTGTATTTATGAAGTTTATAATGCCTTCAGCTTCTGGGCCACACAGAGCCAAGTTAGTGGCCCATCCCCAAGACCTGGCCCTAGGGATGGGTCAGGAAATTGGGCAGTGTAGAGTTAAATGAGGGAGAATTGCTCCAGGCCTGGTCAACTCAGGGGCACTGCCCAGTTGACCACTTGTTGTGTGCTTGGACAAGGACAGGGAAGGAGAAGCCAGGCCCTCCACACTCACAGCTCACCTCACAACTGTGCTAGGCACTGCCCACCCTTTAGAGAGAAACAAGGTATGTGGTGGGCATAGGAAGTGGATAGGGGAGAGATTCTGGAAAATTCTAGGGAGGTTTTAAGCGCTCATAAGGCAGGCTGGCCCAGCAGCTGTTAGGGCCTCTTGGCTGGGGTGCTGGCTTGCTGGGGCACGTGCTACCCTGTGGGGCCCAGGGCGGTGCCTCAGTGCTGAGGAGAGAAGCTTTTAAATGTCTGTCTTCCTAAAACCACTCTGCCTCTAGGAGAAGCTCGCAGCTGGTGTATAACCTCCACGACAGCAAGTCCAGTTGTTTATCACCCTATCCTGTAATATATTTATAAAGTAATGAACGATCGGTTGAACCAAGTTTGGGCTTCTGTCTCGCCACGGGCACCTCCTCGCGCGAACCCTCACCCGGGGAAGCCGTGGACGTGGGCTGCAGCCTTCCAGCCTCAATTCCCTCCCTCTGCCACCCCTCTTCCCTCCTCTCTCTCTGCCCCTCCCCCTGCTTATTTGGGAGATTAGAGTTCATTAATTAAATCCTGTGCTCAGATCGAACTGTAACATTATTCCAATCACATTTATCTTACAGGCGGCGGAGGAGATGGCAGCCTCGCTGGAAACGCGCGGGGGAGCCTGAGCAGGCGGCCGGGGACGCACAGCGCGGCGCGCTCCTTCGCCACGCCGCCGCGCAGACCCTCCATCTTCCTGCCCAGCCTCCTGGCCCCGCTCGGCCCTGCCTTGGGGGTCGGCTTCTCTCTAGGGCTCCTGCCCTTCCCCACCCCCCCGGGCCTCCGCGGCTCCCCTGCCCGGTTCCCCTCCCCCGCCACACACGCTGACACGCGCGCGCGAACACACACACACTCACACACACTGACACGCCAGCGAGCTGCTGGTCGCTCAATGGACCGATTTCCCTGCTTCCCCTGATCCCAGCCCAGCCCGGGATGAGAAATTGCAAAATGGCCCGGGTCGCCAGTGTGCTGGGACTGGTCATGCTCAGCGTCGCCCTGCTGATTTTATCGCTCATCAGCTACGTGTCCCTGAAAAAGGAGAACATCTTCACCACTCCCAAGTACGCCAACCCAGGGGCGCCCCGAATGTACATGTTCCACGCGGGATTCCGGTGAGTGCGGGCCTCTATTTGAGCGCCCTCGGGTATCTGGTTTATTTGGGGGGGGGGAGATAACAGGGTGGTGTTTTGGCTTCTCTGACACACTTCGGGCAAGATAATTGCGTGGTCCTTCCACTCCTCTCTCTGATTCTCCCTTCCCCCTCTCCTTTATTTTTTTTAACCCAAAGCCCCTAAAAGCCGTTGTCCTAATCGATGTGATTGCATTTCTCGTATTCTTCCTCGGAATCCCTTCCCCCATTTCAAAAATGGGGGGAGGGTTTAAGGAGAATGATGATGTAGGGAGAGGCGAGGTGTTGGGGGGGAGGGAGAGGAGGGGGCGCTGAACCGGGAGATGGACGTGCGTGAGGTGAGCGCCTTCCCGGTGCAGCGTCCGCAGACTCCGCGGCCGGACTCCCGGCGGTCCAGGGCCGATTTAATGGCGCAGGCGCTGGACTCCCCTTGCGCTGTCCTCACTCCTCTCCCCCACGCCCCACCCCATCAAATGATGCCGCGGGTCTATTCTCCTGAAGCCCCTGGGGTATTTTACCTCGATCCTTTCCCCCGCTGCCACCCCCACCCCTTTCCGGGATTTCTGCAATTCCTCCGCCCTCTGCGGGAAGCGAGCCTCTTAAGGGCCGCCTACCCTCGCCCCAGGTCCAATTCACCTCCGGGCGAGGGGCTGGACTGGTAAAGAGCCAGACGCAGCTTGGCGCAACTCATCGAGAACCCCTGCCTCTACCAGTGACATTTAGGAGCTCTCCCAGGAGGACCTCCTGAGGGGCAGGTGTCAAATACAATCTGCAACCTGTGGTCCAAGCGGGCCGGAGGTGCGGAACCTAGAGAAGCCCCCCCCTCCACCCGTCCGCGGGCAGAAGAGTGGAGCTGGCCTGTGGCCTCCGGGAGTCCCCAGTCAGGGGACAGGGAGTAAAGCCAGACTAGGCTCGGGAAGTAAGAGGTTAAGGGAGGAGCCACCCCCCAGTTTTCCCCTGGGTCTCCGGTTTCCTCTGCCCTTTCTCCAAAAATCAATTCACCCGCACAGCCGGGGCGTCGCGGGTCGGACTAGCGGAGGCACGGCCGCTGTCCGCGGTGCTGACTCCCTGGTCCTCACGGCGCATCAGGCTCCAGCAGTGCGCCGGGCTCCCGCCCCTGCTCTCCGCGAGACGGCCATTTTATGGTCTCTCCCGCACCGGGAGGGATGGACAATGGAGGCGGATTTCCCTAGTTTTCTTTTTGCCCCTGGGTGTGTGTGGGAGCGGAGAGTGGACCAAATGAGAGAGGCTCAGGCGGGATGGAGCCAGTGCGTGCGCCAGGTGCCCCCCTCCCCCCCAAGTCGCCTGGGCTTTAATGGCTACCTTGGCTTCCCCTAGCTGAGGCCAGCACTTTTGTCTGTGTACTCATGCTCCTCTCCAGGTCACAGTTTGCGCTGAAGTTTCTAGATCCGTCATTTGTGCCCATTACGAATTCTCTGACCCACGAACTCCAAGAGAAACCTTCTAAGTGGACATTTAATCGGACAGCGTTTTTACATCAAAGGTAGGATAGGGGGAAAAGGTCTGAAAGGTGTTTTTGAATTCTGGAGTTCAAAAAACAAAACAAAACAAAATGATCCAAAACAACGAAAATCTATCCCCCACCCTCAGGTGTTATTTGCGTTGTCCTCTCGGCCTGACTGCACAAAGGCTGATTGGTAACCCTTTCTTATGTATGTAGTGCACTCACATAAAAAGAAAACATCAAGAAGACCAACTGAATGGAAGAGAAAAAGGCATTTCCAATATCCACCCTAACTTGGGCTTAATTGAGAACAATGATTTATAGTTAACATGCATGGGTAACACTGCCAAAGCCATCTACTAAAAATAAATAAATAAATAAATAAATAAATAAATAAATAAATAATTTAAAAAGTTAATTGCATCAAGACCATGCGATAATGCATTTCATTCTCTGAGAAAAAAAAATTTAAAAATGAAATAAAATAGAATTGTCTCACCCTGAAATACACAGCAAGTACTATAATCCGCCCCTATCAATTACTAGTGAAAATCTTGGCCCAAATATATGCAGGTATTTAAGCAAGGTTTTGTTTTGGTTTCACCTATTTTTTTCATTAAACCTTTACAGACTTTAACATACTGTAAAAGCTACCCAACATCATTTTTATAGGTTGTCTTGTAACAGCCTTGTTTATACGTGAGGGAGTTTATGTGTATGTATGTATGGGATGTGTGTGTGTGTGTGTGTGCATGTGTTGGGGAAGAAGGATGAGATTTATTCAAATTTATTATCTTGAGTGATTCTGGTCTACTCTTAGCAACCCCAGATAAGTCCTTACTCCTTCCTTCTTGGTGGGATTATTATGCTGCTAAATGGAATGTGAGCCATCTAGTGTATTCATTAGGGGTGTGAATACTTATTTTACACATACTTATTTTACCACTCATGTACAGGGTTGTGTTTGGTCTCAGCATTTCTAGTTACCACACTCTTTATTATTTTAAGCTAATGACGGAATTAAAACAAAGTCACTAGGTATCTATGGTGTCATGAAAATGTTGTTTACTTGAAAAGCTGAAATAGTCATGTGATTAGTATTAAAATTTTTAAAACTGTTTAATTAGAAATTACTCCATGACAATAATTGATTAATATGAAAACCACAGAAGTGCCTTTCTTTTAAACTATTGGGTTTTTAGTCCAATATTAATTTTATAGACAACCCGGAAATATTTAATGGTAGTATGCATTATACCTTCCCCAAAATATGTTCCTAACTGAATAAAAGTTTCCTTCCCACACTAGGCCATGTGACCCAAATGACCAGTCAAAACAGTATTTTTTTCTCAAAACTTACCTCCTTTCAATCCACTTATTAAGTAGTCTTTAATTAATTTTCCCAGTATCATTTTAAATTTTCTTTTATAACAGGTAAAGAATAGTTTGTAAAGACCAGCATTGGTAACTTTGGAAGTTTTAGATTATGTTGCTTTATACTTTGACAAATGAAGTAATTTTTTAAAATAAAATTCCAGGTAAAGTGATGATATACACAACATCTATTTTCAATCCTGCTATTTTTTAGGCAAAATACACTGGAAATTCACAATGTGATTTCTTAGAATTAATAGCGAAGTAACATGTTACTGGTCTTTCTTAAATATTTTAAATAGCTGAAGTTTTAAGAGGAAATGCTTAATTTTACTTAAAGCTCAACATGAAAGTAACCTGAAATTAGTGCTAAGTATCACCCTTGCCTTGTTTATCCTCTGAATTCTTACAATATACACACATTTCCAGGGTCTTTTTCTAAGGATTAAGTTACTCCAACTAAATTGTGTTTCTATATAATCAAGTAGAAAAATACTCCCATTTCATTATTCAAAGGACCTTAATGAGATTATCATCTCATTTCTATTAAATATTCAACTACACTCACTGATACTACCATTTCCATATTTTAATAATAGATAGTACTATACTGACTCATATCTATTTGGCTCTTATTTGGACACCAGCGATATTTGATATTCCTTGAACACTGCAGTCCAATAGCAAACAAGTAGTCCCTAGTTACAAACTCTAAGTCACCAATGTTTGTGCATTAATGTGAGCTCTTTGGAGCCTGTGTAAATTGTCTCCCTGTATTTTCTAACATAGTTCGGCCTATGCCTCCCCTTGATCAAATACACTTTTCATATAGAACAGAAAACCAAAGAATGGCAGCTAAAACTGTGAGTTACAACATTTATAAGCCTTGAAGGATTACATCCAGAACTTGGCTGAGAAATTAGCACATCCAGAACTTGACTGAGAAATTAGTCTGTAGATTCTGAAGCAGTCCTTCCCCCAACAACCACAATTATTATGAATGTATAATCTTTTTTTGATACAATGTTCCTATGATTCTTGTCTGAATGAAATGGCAGCATAAGACATAAGATGGAAAGTCAATTCTTTTGAATGGGATGCATTTAATGAATTTCTTTTCATTTTAGGCAAGAAATTCTTCAGCATGTCGATGTAATAAAAAATTTTTCTTTGACCAAGAATAGTGTTCGGATCGGACAACTGATGCACTATGATTATTCCAGCCATAAATATGTTTTCTCTATTAGCAATAACTTCCGATCACTGCTTCCAGATGTGTCACCCATTGTGAATAAGCATTTTAATATTTGTGCTGTGGTTGGAAATAGTGGGATCCTGACAGGGAGCCGGTGTGGACAAGAAATAGATAAGTCAGATTTTGTTTTCCGTTGCAATTTCGCCCCTACGGAGGCTTTCCAAAGAGATGTTGGAAGGAAAACCAACCTTACCACCTTCAACCCCAGCATTCTGGAAAAATATTACAACAATCTCTTGACCATTCAGGACCGTAACAACTTTTTCCTCAGTTTAAAAAAGCTCGATGGGGCCATTCTTTGGATCCCTGCATTTTTCTTCCACACTTCAGCAACTGTTACCAGGACATTAGTTGACTTTTTTGTTGAACACAGAGGTCAGTTAAAGGTCCAATTGGCTTGGCCTGGAAATATAATGCAACATGTCAACAGGTGGGTATATTTTATTGCCTTTAAGTCTTACCCCACCAGATGGCAGATCAATATTGTAATCTCTTGGGGGTGGGAGGTATCCGATTAGTTACTTCTTGTGGTTAGCTTAGCAATTTTGGGCAAACTCTTATATTTTTGTAATGAAAGAATGAAGCATTCTAGGTAAGAAGTTCAATCTTCTACCCCCTGCTGGTAACAGAGTGCCAAATGGGGGGACTGGTGTTTCATCAGCCTCCCCTCTCTATTCCCTGTCTCCTTCCTTGGTGATAAGCCTAACAGGCAGTCATGGAAATCACCAAAAATCAAGAATTTTCTTTAAATGGATGGCTAGGTCCCCATAATGCCAATGGCGGAATTAGACAAACCAAGCAGTTTTCTAAAAAGATGCAACTGACTTAAAATGTCCCTTTTTATTTGATATTTGGGAGTTTTGTCAATGTCCAAAATTAGAAAACCACCTAGGTAAATCATAAATTGTATAATTGGCCTTTATCATTTGGGATTTTAGTGCCAAAACATGTGAAGGGTATTTTATTAGCTTGTTGTTATCCCTTATAATTTGATAGAGAGATTGACCAGAAATGCAATATTTTCACCTATTCTGATGAGTCTTAATTCTGGCTATACATTAGAATCACCTGGAGAACTTTAAAAAATACTGTTGCCTGGGCTCTACTTTAAGGGATTCTAATGTAATTTATCTGGAGGTGGGAAGGGAAGGGCCCAGGTACCTGTTTTTCTTAATAACTCCCCAGATGATTCTAATATGTAGTCAGAATTGGGAGCCACTAGTCCAGGGCATTTTATAAAGCAAAATTAATTGTAAGATTCATTTTTCTTTAAATCATCTGGGGAAACTGCCTCAACTCTAATTTCCTCTATGCAAGTAGCCTCCATGCCCTAACATACTGTCCAGATCATCCTACAAGTTAAAGTGGGTTCTGGGAGGACTGGTAGTCCTCTAAAGTCTCCCAAACTTAAGATCTGTTTAGTTGACCTCTCACAGAAGGAGGAATCACCATCTAATAAAGTAGTATGTATCTAACAGGTAGGGTTAGGACCATAATGTATAGCCCAAACTGGAGCTTTGTCTTTGAGAGAAAGAAGGTGCTATTAACAATGACAGCAGGATAACAAACAAAATTGGGAACTATCCTAGTTTCTCAGGATGTATGGTCATCTTTTTGAGGGGTAATGTAGCCCAACTCCTAAGTTTAAAGATGAGTCAACTGAGGTACAAAGAAAAGGAGTTATTTACGCAGTGTCACTGCCCAAAATGGGCAAAAACAGAATTAGAAGCCAGGCTTCCAGCTAACCTGTCCTCCTGTGGTCTTTGACCTCCTTATTTTGCTCCCCTCTTGCTTTATTTAAGTTCAGCCATGCCAAAAGAATTGTCAGAAGTCATTCTAACTCCTTAGGTAAGAAAACCAAGACTAAACTTTTAAATTTCAACTGGAATGGGGAAAGATCTATGTGTAGTAAAGAAGGAACTACCCGTGCTTTGAAACTTCAGGAAACTGGCCTGTGTGGCCTACCCTGCCCCAGTTTTTCTGAAGGGCCATGGAGTTAGCCATGATGCCGTGATGCTTCACAGCCACTCAAGCTTGAACCAAACACATTGGTTCAATGAAAACTCTAAGGAAATGTAGTCCGTAGAAACCTGATTCATGAAGAGTTTAATTTTGCTGCATAGCCAATGATACACAAACACACACACGCACACACACACACACACACACACTCCCTGCAGTCTCAAATATGTGGTAGTGTAGGTAGGAAGGCTTCAAATTACTGTCCAAATATGAAGGAAAAACAGCCATAATTTAGCATTTTTTTAATTCAGAAAATGTTTAAATACTTTTCTTAGGCCCTGCCATGCTAAAGGAGGGCTCAGGACCCCCTAGCTAGACACCAATGGAACAGGGAGTATGACCTTTTACAAGAAGGTACAGAAAAATAAGTCCCCACACTCTCTCCAGACCAAAGAAGAAGGATTTAATCTCTAGATGTGGGTAAGAAAGTGACACAGGAGGTGCCCGTAGAGTAAACGACCTCCTCCCTACTTCCCAGGGCCCTTTGTGTATGAGAAGCAGGGTCATTCTCCCTGCTGGCCTTCTGTGGTGTCACCACCCAGCCAGAGCCACCACTCCTTAGGACAGCCGAGAGGCAGGCTGGCATCGACCATGCACAGCCCATATGGTCACCCGGAAGCTGTGCTCAGAAGCCTCCAGTGCCTGGTTTAATGCTCCGCTATCACCCTCTTGAAAATATCAGTGAGTTTTGAAGGAAGGGCCCACATTTGCGTTTTGCCCTGGGTCTCATGAGTTATGTTCCCAATAGTGCCCTGAGTTGTTCTGTGGTCTAAAAGATAGATTCAAAGCCAGTACTGTTTGCGGGGGAGGAGAAAAAGGCAAGTACTCTTTAACTTCCATATACAAATCCACCTCCCGGCCCAGTCACGGTGACCTTATCGGACTGAAACCAACACTGGCCTCTGAATCCACATGTACTTATTATTCCGCAGGTACTGGAAAAACAAACATTTGTCACCCAAACGGCTGAGCACAGGTATTCTTATGTACACCCTTGCATCAGCAATATGTGAAGAGATCCACTTGTATGGATTTTGGCCTTTTGGATTTGACCCCAACACAAGGGAAGATCTTCCATACCATTACTATGACAAAAAAGGAACCAAATTTACCACCAAGTGGCAGGAGTCACACCAGCTGCCTGCCGAGTTCCAGCTGCTGTACCGAATGCATGGGGAAGGGCTCACCAAGCTGACTCTGTCACACTGTGCCTAAGACTTTGAACAGAAAGTGCCAAATGGCCATTTAAAAAGTGCCCCAAATCAAATGGAATAGTCTTCAGAATAGAACCCTAGAGAATTCCTTATAAAGATTGTCTGCCATTTAAAAGGAAAGATGTCTCTCCCTCTTTTGCACTGCTCTTTTAAGGGTCTTGGCAAGACAAACGAAGCCACATGACTCAAACTTGATTGATAAAGGGAATGTTGCATTTGGAACTATGCTGCTAATGAAATGGTTTGAAGTATTTTCGTGTTTGTATTTTGATAATAAACTGCCTCCCGTTTTTTATGAGGACTAGAGCTGTAGTTCCCTCAGCTTTGAGATACAGTCCTCATAGTCACAGGCCTCTGGCCAGTTTGGGCAGGATTTTAGTTTTGCCTGGGTGGGATCAGACTCTTCAAAACGGAAACAAACAAAAATCGTTGGCATATCTCATCTCTCACTCTCTCTTTTCTCCCTGTCGTTCTCGATCTCTTTCCCTACAACCCCCTGCCCCACCACTGTGGAGTTTAATAATTTGCTAGGAATCATATTAAATTAGCTTTGCTTGTATGTGTTGCAATCTGTACTCGTCTGATGTGTTCAAGGCTCTGGGTAACTTTGATGTTTCATGACAAACTGACCAAATCATGATGGGTCCCCTTAGGATTTCTTTTATAAGAAATGCCTCTTATGAAGTTCTCACTGGTCCGCGCAGTCATTCTACAGCAGAACGGTCCCTCTGTGGTGAGTGGCATATACTGCAGTGCATCTTTCACTAATCACAAAGAAAATTTTTGTCATGGGTGGCATTGCATCTTTTGACATGAGTGCTATTATGGCAAATCATTCTATTGCCACATCTGCAAGAGTATTCCAGCCTGAATTTAGTGCCTCCCACAATCTCAACCCAAGCACTGGGCTGGGAATTCTCTCAGAATATAGAGGCAATGAGTCAGCTTAAGAGCCTGGAACATACAGAGGAAAAGGAAGAAGAACGCTTAGAAGTTGTTATGGAATCCCCGTATGCCCTAAAGCGTTGTAACCATGGTGCCCATTCAGAGTCTTTGAAAACCAGGAGGGTTAGAGCAAAATAGAAGATCTGAAGTTGACCAGGACAGGCACCCCGTGACTAGGGCTGAGGGGAGGTCATCTTCAGTATCATTGTGTCCACCAGCACCACTCAGAACCATTTGTTCTCTTCAAGACAATTGTAGACACTGGATAGTCCCTTTTTCCACTGAAATCTGTATATCTAAATCTGTATATCTAAAAATGAAATAAAATCTGTATACCTAAAAATTAAGCATTTCATAAGGAAAAACCATTGGGTAATAGGAAGATTTGGTACAAAATAACCCTTGGAATTTGAGCTGTGTAGACCTGGCATGAAGTAATTAGTTGGCTATTTTCTTTTTTTATTATATCAGCCTCAGAAGTAGAAATCACATCACTCCCACTCCTGGGTTTTCACTGAGCAGCACTTTGTTCTTCCAGTTCAGCCCAAAGTCTGGCCAAGTTGACGTTAAATTTTAATAAGAGTTTCTTTCTTCTTTCCAAATGCCAGTCAAGCACATTTGTAATACATCTGGGTGGGGTAGCTTGTTCTTTTCCAGAAATCTCAGCCTAGATTGCTTGTAATGTTACAAATGCTGTTTAAAATAATTGCTGTAGTTCAGTAATCAGCTCACTGTCCCTCTTTGGGAAGGTATCATCATGCCCAGAGTTAAACCAAATGCAGTAAGGAAAGACATAGTTCTTATGCTCATCTGCCTCCTGGTCCTAAAGGGGAGCTGTCTTATCCTCATGTTTTTCAGAAAGCTCATCAGAGCAGCTCACATTGATCCAGATATTAACTAGTGAAAGAAAAACCGTATGGGTTCAAATGTGTTACCAATTGTGACACATCTTACAATGCTATATGAATGGCAATCCAAACAGACAGGAAGAAATAGGAATAGATGTTTCGGAATGGGAAACACTAACACAGCTCAATACTTGAAATAATTAGAAGGTGAGACAGTAAAAAAACATTTTTAAATTCACTGGTATAATTTGATGGGCATCAAAACCACCTCATGTTTCCTGTCACTTTAAAGAGGACAGTACTCCAGTGCTCATGCTGTGCTCTGTTAGGGTCACTGCGAGATTGATAACTGACAGAATTGTTTAGTTGGCTCTTCCTAAGCACTTAGTTCATTTGGTTACAGCTAAGTGATATTAATGCCAACGTTACATGGGCCAGATCCTGACTCTGGAGTTTTAATCCCAATGTGCCCATTAGATTTCACTAAATATAAATATGTAGACACATTGAACCAGGCAGGTTAAAAGACCAAAAGACCAAAATCCCTAAAAACAGTTCATTGTTCTATGGTAGACCTCATCATAATGCCATTTTTGGTTTGGGGTTTTTTGTTCGTTTGTTTTTTGTTTTTGTTTTTTTGGTTTGGGTTTTTTTTTTGTCTTTTCAAGTTCAGGAAGACATTTTACATCTCACATCACTCTTGCCTCCATCTTAACATCAGAGTGAGAGGATTTTTCCATCTCCCAACACCATTTCATCTGTCGCTTTCACAAGAACTCAGAATACTGAAGAAACAGGCTTGTTTCCCAGAACCAGAGGGCTTAGAGATCAGGCTTATCCTGTTGCCAGGCAGGACATCCTGGAACTGATCCAAAAGACCACCTTTCCCTTTTCTTAAAAAATCTCTGAAGAAAGCCCCAAGCCCTGCCATAGTGGTTAACCACAATTCTCATACCTTATAAATTCTTTCTGCACAGCCTATCTCCCTCCTGTTTGAAAAATGAGACTCTGGATGTGGGTAAAGCTTCTATCCCAGTTTTCAGCTTGTAGTAAGCACTCAGTATATGGCAGCTTTTACTGTTGCTTCTTTTGTTTGTTGTGCCCTTGACCTGTAGTTCCAGCATAGAGAAACTCAGCCTCTAGCTGATCATTCACAATCTCTTTTTGTTTTTAAAGACGGTTTCAAAAATCAAATCTATATGACCACTGTCGCGACCAAAAGAGTCGGCGGGTCCCCTGAGTCCTGATTCGAAAGGCAGTAGTGTAAGTAACCAGAACTCCGGGGCTGTGCGGTCAAGAGCAGTGAAACACGCAGACAGGACTATTGCATCCCCCTTTCTGGTTCAGCTCAGATACAAACCCCTGGCTTGTGCATTGCCCTTGCTTTATTGGTTCTAGGCTACGTGCATCCTTTTGTCTGGGATCCTCACAGCAGAATTCACCCTCAGCTATTGGAATAAATTCCACCATTAAGCCCTCAAGGCCATCTATGTATGATACCAACACAAATGACCAAGTCAGTTGCAGAGGAGAAAAAAGCCCACAAACATTTAGTGACCAGCTTAATGCCAGTCCCTCAACCAGTTTTCATTGGTTGTTCTGAGAGTCATGTGCAGACATTTAAACCAGGGGATAGAGAGCTAAAATGAGGTATCAAGAATTCCCCACACACCCAGAAATCTTTCCCATATTTGATTATTAAGACATTTACAGTTCCTCTGCCTTTGCTTCTGTGTCTCAAGTGTCCTTGACCATTGAAAAGTGCTATGAGTGCGGTACCATTTGCCTGTGACCTTGATGTCGGGCGCATGACCATGGGGCTGCCAGCCAGGACGTGTAAGGGGAGAGGTTCCTCCAGTCTCCTTGTGCCCGGGGCCTCCAGTTATCTACGAATGTGAGTGCCATGATTAACCTAATTTGGTGGGGAAGCTAAGGAAGGGAAGAGCATTTCCTCTGACTTTGGGCTACACAGTAGTTGTTAGACACTCTCAGACAGCAAAGAAAGGTTGACCTGAGGCCAGAGGAAGCAGGGACGAATTGTAGAACCATAGGATACCACAAATGGAAGAGCCTTTCAGCTTCTCTAGTCCTAATCCTTGATGCTACAAATGAGAAATCCTTGATGCTACAAAGGAGATGCTACAAAGGAGGAACAGAGAGGCTAAGTGATTTTCCCAACATTGCATAATCAGTAGAAAAAGTATGACTCCTCATCTCCTCCTCATCAGCATTAAATGAAGATGGGCCCAAAAAGAAAGTATTTTAGTCTGGGGTCCCCATGGCACAGAAAATAAGTCCAGACTGTAAAGGAGGAAAATTTATTCTCTTCCCCGCCCCCAAAAAATATTTATTTGTCAATGTAAAACAGTAAAGGAGATGATTGCCTAGGCATACAACAGTCCATTGGTAATAACCTACATTCTCCCCTGAAATGAGAGAAAACCCACTTGGTAAATCATGATTCTGGTAAATCACAATTTAGTTACTAACAGTTCACATTTGACAGCTGGAATCTTATCCAGTAATTCAGTATTCACCTTATAAAACATTGTTTTAGCAATATGTATGCACAACTTAAAATTGAATACTGAGAATAGTTATGTACTTCTTTTTAAATTTTTTATTCAGTTTATTTAACCTAAAAAAAAAAAAAAAAAACCCCACTTGTTGTGTTGCTCCATTTGTCTTATTTTCAGCTGGGGCCTGTTAAGGTAAGGAATACCTTTTGTCAATGCCTTCCACATTGTAAGTAATTTCAACAGCAGACTTTGCATTACTGCATTAGTTCAATATGCTGAGAAGATGTGCAAATAATAACGAATAATGTTGAGCTGAGTTTTCATGTGCAAAATAACAGACCAAACGATTTTCTGTATAAATCTGGATCCTTAAGTCCTTTTCCTCTAATTGTTTAAATGTGCCAGGCAAAAGTATCTGTTAAGCCTCTACTTCTCCCTGAATATGCAGAACTGTGCTTTTGCTTACAAAGATTGCTGGGACTGTGCATATGTGGCTGAAAAACCCAGATGGAGCAGCACAGGTGCCAGAGACCCCCCTGGGCCACCTGGCTGACCTCTCTGGGCTCTGTGGCCCGATTAATCAAGGCCACGGATGAACTGACACCAAGGACCAAAATGACTAAATATGCCTCTCTCACACTCTGATTGCTTTGCCACATAGATATAACATTTGAAATGGGAAACATTTTAGAATGTAATTATTGTATTACACAGTATTTCCTAAAATTTGTTTTTATTGTGTTGACTTATTATTGAAGATACGTGTTTTAATAGATGCTCTTTTCCCTCAATGAAGCCCATTCTCATGTTGTTAATTACAGTGGAATCACAGTGAAGAGGCTGTCACAGAAAAACTGACTCCAATCTAAGATTACAATGGGGTTATGGGGTTAGGACCTGGATTATGCTGCTGATCCACCAGCAAACAAAGCTGTATGACATGAGGAGCTCTTTAAAACACAACTCTTGCGCCCCACCCCAGACCTTTGACTCAGAATGTCTTGGGATAAGCTAAGCTTACAAAGATTCCCAGGTGATTCTGATGTTGCCAGCATTTGGAAACAAATAATGTATAGCAAAGTCATATATACCATTTTGACCAAAGTAGCTGAATGCTTATCACTCCTCATGCAATTAGTATCACATCTGTTCCTTGAAGTTATCATAATACACGGCAATAACAGACACAGTCTTAGTGACTCAACTATTCAACTGTTTTGGCTGAACTGACCTGTCACTAATTTGTAAGCAAATAGTAACTGGTTAATTTAGACAGAATGGATACAAGCCTGAAGACAGTTGAAGTGAGGGACATAGCTTTAATATACTTTACCCCAGGGCCAGCTCTTTATATTTCACTTTTGATATTTCAAACGAAGAGGCAGATCTCAGGTCATTCATCTTTACAAACAGACAGACTGAGAAACAGGGAAGTTAAATGATTCATTCAGATTCTACTTGGATGTCATTCCCAGAGCCTAAAATATTCCTAAAGGGTTCTGATTTCTCAACCTATAGGTAACGCCCAAAATGCAAAGATCCTCACGTTAAAACGAAACCAATCAAAAAAGGAAATTCAAGAAGTCAAAATTCTAAGACTAACTGAAGCAGCTATCACTGGCTGCCATGTATCAGCCTCTGTTGGGTAAGGTGCCACCGCGCTAGTGAAGTTTTGGCCAGGCTCCTTTTGCCAGCTGTGCACATGCAAAGCCTTTAATCATCAGAGACGCTAAAGGGCTCCTTTGATTATCTTTCTGTGGGACTCTGAGACAATTGTAGCTCTTTGGTGTGCTGCTAAATATTTAACAACTGACCCTGGAGAAGGTGGAGCCCTCCTGTGTAGCACTTGCCAATTCCCATGGTATAAATACTCTCAACATAGACAGTTTCAAGCTCCTAACTTGCTGTCAACCAGGTGAATATGTAACAACAGCTTTTCAGGAGCCACTATGGGCTGGCTCCAGCACAGCCCTGCCTGGGCATCTTCGGAGTCCGAGAGAACCAAACAGGGGAGGCTCGCAGCGGCTTTGGAGAAACTCCCAAGTGCCCCCTCCCTGCAAGGAGGCACTTCTACTTTGGTTAGATCTACTAATTTTTAGTATATTATTGGGTCCTTGAGGCTAAGGACTCTAAGGTGTGCAAAATATTTCCTAGCCATGTGACTCTTAGGAACCTCTCAACAGGCCACTCAGTCCTCTGGGAGACTACCCGCCATGGTTGAGCTTCCAGGTATACATCCTGTAATTTAACTGCCAGTTGAAACCATTTTTGGCTGATCTTTTCTCATATCCTATGGTCCATTGCCTGTTTCCCCAAATCTCTAATTTTCCCTGTCCACTTGCTTCTCATTCTCTGACACAGCACCCAGAAATCAGTGCCTGCACAGGAGCAGGGGAAGAACAAACAACCAGTAGGCTTACCTAGTCCCGCCACACCTGGAGAGGCTCCATGGTTCAAATGTCTCTACCCCATTAAGGGAAATCTGCTAAGTCTCATGCCCAAGGCTTGAGTATGCACTCAGCTGGGCTTTTTTTGCCCACAAAAAGTTTCTAATGGGCAATAAAGACCACAGTTAGGAACACCACTGGATAAACTTTGTAGAGGAAGACATCATGTGATGCCGCCCTTAGCTATGCTAGTGTAAGGCTGGACCCTGAGAAAACCTACCAACAAACGTTTGGCCACTGTAGTCCCCTGGGCATTGAGCAATAGTACTACAACTTTCCTTCTTCCTCCCACTAGCTGTAAGTGAATGCCCTACTTCACAGAGTGTTTAGAAATCAGACACTCTGGTGAACCACAAAACAAGCTTTGTTTGCAAATTAAAGATTTTTCTGATGGAAATCATTCTTAGGTGGATTTGATTCAATCCTTTGGAAGGCAACACTCGAAAAAGAGTATTTAATTCCTCAAACATGATAAGTGGACACAGGCTTTCATTCTGTATGTAGTAAATCAAAATTAGATCATAACAGGGAAAATCTACTTTCCTTACTGTAGTAAAATATCCTTCAGGGTCTGTAAGGCATTTCTAGACTACAAATGTTTGAAACTCAACTGAAACATTGTCTATCTTAAGTTTAAAAGGCCAGAGTAGCCTTCTGTTTTCTGTACTCTTTAGCAGTCATTGAAATGAGCTTGCTTCTTTATACTGAATAAGCTACATTTTGTTGTAAATAAATCAGGTATATGTTCAGATGTTTTTCTATACTCAACAAATTGCCTGTAGCCTCAGCAAAAAATATACCTTCATCCCCTGGCTTTTTTCTGGACACCAAAGAGATAAGTCCATAGCTACAAGCAGAAAGGACTTGACAGTAGGCCCCATTTTATTATGAACAAATTCACAGCAAAACCAGCCTTGAGGAACCAGTCACTCCCACAATATTTTTAGCTAGGGAAGTAGGTTAGAAAAAATGGTAGATGACGGGAGAGGGGTTTGATCAATGTGCAGATGTGGAATAAAGTCACTGAAGTACTTACAAAAAGGAAAGGGGAGGTTTCCCTCTGAAATCTGGAATCTAGATCATTCTGCAAGACTTAGAATAATTGGTCTCCATGTCTAAACACCCTTTAACTACATTTCAAAATCCAAATCTAAGCCCTTATTATGCGAAAAGCAGCCTTACAGCCAAGAGCCCTGGGGAGGGGTTTGTTGATGAGTTGAGATCCAATCACCAACCATCAGCAATCAGCGCTGAAATTCTCCCAGGACACAGAACAAAAATACTGAAACATAACCATGCAGCATCATGCACTCACATAGGAGAGTCAACTACGTGCAGAGCAGAACCTCACAGGTCTAGACATTATCTCAGGTCTAGATTCCAGATCAACATCTTCAACAAGGAGATGAGACAGCTGAGGTCCAGAAACTGGGAAATGATTTAGCTGCCCAGCTAGTTAACTGCAGTTAGAGTCGGGGTCTCCCAACCACTGATTCTACTCCAGCACACCATGCTGCCTCCATTCTTTAGATGGGAAGCTGACAATCCATTGTAAAGCATAAATCAGAAATCAAGACAAAAGAATGTTTGTGATATCTTTTCTCACTTGACCTACTTGGTTTCACAGTTTCATTTCAGCATCTTTTTAAAGAATGTTATACCACTGTAGAAGGAGGAACAAAGCTCTTTTCAGAGTGATGATGAAACCAAAAGGTGGGAGAACAGTGAATGTAAATTAAAGAAAAGAGCAAGAAGCATGCATCAGGGAAAAATGCTTCTTATATTGTCATAACATAGAGCCCTCCCCTCACACACTTGATGCATTTATTTTGGAAAACGTCATTTTATGCTGAGAGACTGGCATTGAAGACTTCACTCCTTCTCAACTACATCAGAAGCACTCTTGCTCTTGGGGAGAAGCTGCGGCCCTTCGGATCAGACTCCTATCTCCTTTGACGGGCAGCCTCAGCTGCCCTGAGAAACAAGGTGCCAGATGGACAGGGCCACGGAGACCTGAAAGGAGCCAGCACTGCTGGACTGAGGAACATGTAAATACCTTCCACCTTCTTGGTAAACAAGGATGACTTTCTTTTGTAGAGGTAATCGTGTGTATCTTGTGACTGTAGCGTGTGAAGAGAACGCAATGATCTGCTTCGACGTCTCCCCAGATGCACCTGCTCCATGTGACCATGCCTGCCTCATTGCCTCATGTGCCAAACACAGTACTGAATGCATTGTTTTTGAATAAACTCTTCTACTGTGCATTGGGAAACACGGCTGGGTGTCTCTGTCCCATCTGGAAGACCCCCCACCCCCACCCCCACACTAACACTCTCCATCCAATGCACAGATTAAGTGCACCCTCCCTTTTTTCATTCCCTGTGTTTTGAGGAATTCTCCTCAGAGATTTAGACCACTCCAGGAAGGCTGGGCTTGACTGTCTCCAGCCATGAATGAGCAGCAAATAGTAAAAGCGCCCCCACACATCAACCTTCCATAGGTCCTTGATGCAAATCACACAACAGGACTTAAACATTATTAATAATAATACATTCATCTTGAATGTACAGTCACACACGTCACTTTATCTCATCAATAATCAGGTGAGAGAGGGACACTGAGGAGTTGGTCCATGTCGCACAGTCAGTGGTGGAGTTAAAATGAGATCACAATCTGATGCTCAGTCCAGTGTTCTCTCTTGCCTCTTCATCCCATTCCAGTCTCTCTTCAGGCCACCCTCTCACAGAGCCGTCCCTCAGTGCCTCCATCGGTCTCCATCCCTTTACATGGTTTTATTTTTCTTGATAGCATTTTCTTTCCTTGGTTTTTTTTTTAAGATTTTATTTATTTTAGAGAGAGAGAGAGAGCATGCATGAGCAGGGGGAGGAGTAGAGGGAGAGGGAGGGAGAGGGAGAGAATCTCCAGCAGACTACACACTGAGCAAAGAGCCTGACTCGGGGCTCAATCCCACGACCCTGAGATCATGACCTGAGCCAAAACCAAGGGTCAGATGCTCAACCAACTGAGCCACCTAGGAGCCCCAGTATTTTCTTTCCTTGTTTGAAATGATAGTATTTAATTACTCCATTGTCTGCATCTTCCACTTATTATAAGCTCTACCTTCTACAGCTAGGGAAGTAGGTTAGAAAAAATTTTAACTTTGCTTGTCTTAATCACACTATGCTCCCAGTGCCCATAACAGTGCTGGGCACTTAGTAGGCTAGCAATTCATCTCTGTTGGATGGATGGATGGATGGATGGATGGATGGATGGATGGATACACCAGAGTCAATGTGTCACTTCTCTTTTTTATCTCCCTTCCCATCTTGATGTCTATGTGTCACTTCTCTTTTTTATCTCCCTTCCCAACTTGATGCCTATACCACAGACACCAAAAGTCCTCACTCTGCTCTGACTGAGCTGCCTCAGATAGCACCGTGAAAGATATGTGTTGACTGAATGAATGAACAGTCCTAGGAATTGTTTTTCTCAATAACCATGCTCCAACATCAAGAATGTCCCAGCATATTCATGCACCAAAGTGCATCCTGTTCTTGTACTTGTCTGGTTATAATTTCAAGCAAAACAAGAACTTGCAGCATAGGGTAAAAAATATCACATTATTAGAAAGACCCTGCCTTTAGGAAACAGGGTCCCATCTGGAAGAGCCTGCTGCAATGCTCTTTAATTCACACCAAAAGCCCTTACTGGTCACTATGTACAACACTGGGCAGGATACGAACAGGATACAAAATCACAATGCCTATCCTGAAGGAACTTACAGTTCAACACATTACAAGGGAATATCTTTCATCCTGGGCAGTGCCAGGGAATGTTGGGATGCAGGTAAGGGACAGAGAGAGGGGCAGAGAGAAAAAAGAATGGCCCCATTGAAGTGAACGCAATAAAAATTGTAAAGGCCAAATGTAATACTTAAGGCTTATATTTTCTGAAAACTCCTTGCCGGTCTGATGATTACCCACCCCAACAAAGAAATGGTAAGTTTTTCTAAAACAAAGCACTTCACAAATTTGGACAAAACATGAAATTGACACCAAGTTTATTGCAGGCTCTCTTTGCCTGGAGCTGCTTAGTACAAATTAAATTTTAAAAGTAGAATTTTTTTTCCCTAAGAAAATGCATTGCCACAGCTTGATCAAGACAAAGAGGATTAAGGAAACCCCACTCATAAAAGGACCAGTCTGACCCAACGCTCCCAAGCCCATCAAGGAAGTAGGCTTTCTGGGTCAGTGTAAGCAACAGCGCGGGCTCCCTACCCAGCGGGCCTTGCGCAGGGTCTGAAGGCCTGGGGTGGCTGATACCTGCCTCAACAACGGACCTATCCCCCATTTTGAGTGGACTTTTCTTAGTGAGTGAGCTAGCTTGATGAATAAATAGGCTGGTCTGACCAGTGCGTCACGCCACTCAGAAAGTCATAGGTGACCAGGAACTTCTGGATTCAGTGAATTCAAAGCTCTCATTTCCAGATGAAGAAATCAAGGCTCAGGGGAGAAAGTCCCTTGTCCAAATGTACTCTCCTAGCAAGCAACAATTTAAATACTTTATCAGTTTTTCTGGGAAGCAAAAGGAGAAGAAAGTTATTTTTCTATCAACCAACATTCTTAACTCTCAATGAAATATTTGGTAGGACAGTCTGCTCATCTTAACTCTTTTTTCTTATTATTATAAAAATATTCTTTGAAAAACCATTAGGAAATAGAGATAAGCAAAAATAGTTTAAAAAAACACCTAAAATGTTCACCTGTTTCACCTGTGTGCTTCTTCTACACCATGCATCCTGTGTGTTTTCTGCTTTCTTCCCACTTAAAAATATATCAAGAGCATCTTTCCCTGTCATTAAATATTCTTTGATAAGCTCACAGGATGGAAGCATTTATTTAACCCATTTTCTATTGTTTCAAATTTAAGTTTAGGTTCTTTGCCATTATTCATCACTGTAAACTGTGCTTTGATGAACATCTTTGTAACAATGTTTGAACATCCATGATTATTTACCTGAATAATCCCTTGACATAGATTTTCAAGAGACATGAAAAAATTTTGCAAGAGGAGTCTTTTTCTTTTTTTTTTTT